GTGACCAGTGCAGGGGACGCTGAGGGAGGGCTTGGGCGGGGTTCAGGGGCCAATGAGGGGCTCGAGGCGCTGCCACCACAGTGACGGGGACAGCGCTCTTGACCACAGGGGCGACTGCCACAGGGGCAGCAGGAGCCACAATGGCTGCACTCTTGACCAGCGGGGCAACAGGGGCCACAGCTACAGGGGCAGCTTCAACGACGGTAAGGGAAGGGGCGGCCTTCACAACGGGGACAGGGACAGGGGCGGCCTTCACAACAGGGAAAGGGGCAGGGGCGGTTAATACCATTCCCAAGTTTACACCTGGTTCAGGAATCTTCATAACAGCGGAAGGTTCCACTGTGGACTGGCCACAGTTTCCTGCCACCGTCTGATAAAGCTGCGGAGCCGCGGAGCATGTTGCTGCCAACAGAGATAAAACCTGTAAAAGAAAATAATAGATAAAAAGCATATCAGTTGCATCTAAAGGAAATCATACAGGCAGCACAGTATAAGATATCAAAAATATTTGAACAAGAATAGCAACACATATAGCCATGACACACATTCCATGAATATGCTCCATTTTGACAAAGCAATCCCGATGTTTACTAACAATGAGTTTCATTTTGTGTCGCTGGGGAGGTCGCGGACGGAGGTCTCTCTGGACTGGACGGAGGAGGTTTGGAAGGTCGTCCGAGAATCTCGCCTTTTATACCCGCTCGTCTCGACCCGTGACCACGCCCTCCATAGCGCCAGATGCAGGACTTTTTTTCTCCAAAGGTTTGTCGTTTTGGTTTTAGTACGATTGTAATTTTTTTCGGGGGGGGCTGTTAACATTATGATTGGCTGTCTGCATTTATTATGGTTTATGTATTTTTTCACTGTTCTTGTTCCACTGACATCTGTATTAATATCATTAATCATTGTTATTACGATCATCATTACTATAAGAAATATTGTTATCATATTATTATCATTATTATATTATTATTATTGTAATTATTATTGATATCTCTCTCATAATCATTGCTATTATTATCATTACAACAATTCTCATTATGATGATAATAACAATAATTATCATTAATCATTAAATGTCAGTATTATCATCGCTATTATCTTTATTTCTATGATGAACATTTCAATATCATCATAATTATTATCATTACTGTAATCATCTTCATTATCCTTATCTCTATCATCTTCCTCTTACTTATTCTCTGTTCCTCAACATCATCATCATTATAAATTGTTATTGTTCTCAGGATTATAATCATGATCACTGCTGTATTAGCATCCCTTCAAAGGATAATAACAGTTATTATCATCATTACTATTACTATTGTTATTATCATTATTAACATCATTATTACTATATTATTATCATTATTATTATCATTACTATTGTTATTGATATTATTAGAATTATTATCATTATTATTATCATTATCATTACTATCATCAGCATAGATGTCTTAGTGAAGTAAAATCTTTAAAAATCCGAAGAATGCATAAGTAGTATAACATGAACACTTTTACAGAGTGTTGTACCGACTCCGACAACAGCTAAAGCCTCTAGATCAGTGGCAGAGCATTTTTCAGCAGCTGTAAGTTTCCGGGAACAGCTGGGCACTACATGGAAGTTGCCAACTCTATACTTTTGCGCGAAATAAGAACTTCGAGAGATTCCAGATGTGTCAGTATGTAGTTAACAACTCTGCAAAATTTGGCTGACTCAGTGCAAGGGCTATTGCTATTTTTATTATTATTTATTATTTATTCAAATGATAGCCACAGTTTTCGTTATCTATTCTTTATAATTTCAAAGTAATTTGGTGATTTAGGCAGCTACAGAAGCATAGTAACACACAATTTCCCGTAGAATCCAATAGCGCATAAAATAACTAATTTGGATAAGGTGGTGTCAGCGATACATGCAAGGCCGGATGGTTACCTCTTTCGCACCTAGGCCCCGGTAGCTGCCCTCCCCCTTCAGCTGATGCAGGTGCTCACTTTACTTTCCCTCGTGACACTCTCCTAAGCAAGCAAAACGCCCTCATAAGAAACAGCTGCATAAAAGGACGTCTCGCCAGGCAGACCCGGACAGAACAGGAGGAGAGCAGAGAGAGCCAGAGACAGACGACGGTCTCGCTCGTCACCGCTCGCCCTCACGGGTCTCTCGCGGGTCGTCGGACACCCAGGGCATATCTATCTCCCCCCTCCGGCAAAGAGTGCTCTACGCCCCCAACCTCTTCCGTTGACACTTGGAAGAAGAACGGTCTATCGTCATTAGAAGAAAAGAGCATTTTCAAAAATGGATTCGCCTTCATCATCGAGTAGTCTCGGTGGCAGAAGGATGGATAAAAGTTCGATTTCTTTCCAATTTCTAATGGTAGATAGTCACATAAAATACCCTTTCTGTGTTGCAGGTCAGCGGCAGAATCACTTGTCACTAGACACGATTTGATGCGCCCAACTCAAACCATTCCCACGTTAAAGTGAGCCAACTCTGCAGGTCCTTGTGCTGTCCGCAATCCGTCCTGGTGTGAGGCAAGGTACAAGGGCCTGCGATACCTTCAACTTTATTGTTCATGAAAAGCAATAAAAAACCTCTGAGAATGTGAATCAAAATGCAGGTAAAATAAGAGGAAAATTCAACATTTATTCTTGGTATTTTTTATTGGTATATAAAAGGGAAGTCTGAGATATATACAGGAAACGATATATACTGGTAGAGTAGGCCTACTCGGGAAGTGAGCTCATGTCAGTTAAGAATCAAACTAGCGTGACAACAGAATTTGCTGTCAACGACTTAACAGCTTGGTGGGCGCGGGCGTGGGCGGACTTGACCTGAGCCACGGCCAGCGTGTCCACGACGAGGTCAGAGGCGGCCACCCTGAAGCCAGAACCGGGGGCGGCGGCGTACTTCCTCACCTGGACGTCCCCCTCGGGGTCCACGTAGGCGAAGCTGCCGGAGGTACGACCCAAAGAGTCCCTGGTCTCCACGCGGGTGTTGGGGCCGCCGTAGTGGCCGAAGGTGTACTGGCCGGCCTCGTCCTGGGCGTGGAATTGGCCTCCCACGTGAGGGACGCTGAGGGAGGGCATGGGGGGTTCAGGGGCCATGAGGGGCTCAGGCGCTGCCACCACAGTGACGGGGACAGCGCTCTTGACCACAGGGGCGACTGCCACAGGGGCAGCAGGAGCCACAATGGCTGCACTCTTGACCAGCGGGGCAACAGGGGCCACAGCTACAGGGGCAGCTTCAACGACGGTAAGGGAAGGGGCGGCCTTCACAAAGGGACAGGGACAGGGGCGGCCTTCACAACGGGGACAGGGGCAGGGGCGGTTAATACCATTCCCAAGTTTACACCTGGTTCAGGAATCTTCATAACAGCCGGAAGGTTCCACTGTGGACTGGCCACAGTTCCTGCCACCGTCTGATAAAGCTGCGGAGCCGCGGAGCATGTTGCTGCCAACAGAGATAAAACCTGTAAAAGAAAAATAGATAAAAAGCATATCAGTTGCATCTAAAGGAAATCATACAGGCAGCACAGTATAAGATATCAAAATATTTGAACAAGAATAGCAACACATATAGCCATGACACACATTCCATGAATATGCTCCATTTTGACAAAGCAATCCCGATGTTTACTAACAATGAGTTTCATTTTGTGTCGCTGGGGAGGTCGCGGACGGAGGTCTCTCTGGACTGGACGGAGGAGGTTTGGGAAGGTCGTCCGAGAATCTCGCCTTTTATACCCGCTCGTCTCGACCCGTGACCACGCCCTCCATAGAGCCAGATGGAGGGAGGGCTTTTTTTCTCTCCAAAAGTTTGTCGTTTTGGTTTTAATATCATTATAATAATTTTTCGTTGCTGTTATTCTGGCTGGTAACAATTATTGGTTATGAGCGTTTGTTCTGTTTTCTGTATTTTTCAATGTTCTTGTTACGTACACTGTCACTACTATTATGATCATTATTATTACGAAAATTGTGTTCATTATTATTATTAGTAGTAGCATTATCATTATTTTTATTCACTATTATCATAGCTATTATCATTATTACCATCATTATTTTTATTGTCATTATTACCATTGCTATTATTATTATTACCATCATTATTGTTATCATTATTATCATGATTCTCAGTACTATTATTATAATTATGATAATAATGATAATCATTATCATTATTATGGTTAGCATTATCATTACTATCATTGTTATCATCGTTATTATCTTCATTTCTATAATGGACATTTCATTATCATCATAATCCTTATTATTACTTAATCATCTTCGTTATCCTTATCTCTATCATCATCATACTTATCCTCCTGTTCTTCATCATCACTATCATCATTATAATTGTTATTGTTCTCACTGCTGGTATTAGCTGGTATTAACATTTATATCATCATTATTGTTACTATCGCTATTGTTATGGTGGTATTATGATATTATATCATAAGTGCATTTATAAAATGGCATTACATATTATTATTAATGATAATGATAATAATTATAATTTTCATCATTATCATTAAAACTAGTACAATTATTATTATCATTATATTATATTATCATCATTATCGTTATTATTATTATTACTATTCTTGTTATCATTATCATTATCATTATTATCATCTTTATTACCATCAGCATATATAAGAAATAAAAAAAATCCCCCAAAAATATAACACGTACAATTTTACAGCTGTACTGGAACAGCTGACTCCACTCTATTCCCATAGTGTCAGAAGGAATTTCATAAGATAAGCCATAAGGCAGCTTATCCCAGCACCCCTCATAATATCGTCATTATTATTATTATTATTATTATTGCTGACATTAATGATAATCATCATTATTATTATCATCATTATTATTATCATCAACATTATTATTTTTATCCTCATATTCAACACTGTTAATATTATTACTAACATTGCTTTTGTCACTATCACTTTCGTATTACATCGATACCATCATTATTATTAATTCTGGTAATCATCTTTTTTGTTAGCATTATCAAATTACTGTTATTTAAATCAAATTGCTTATCCCAGCACCCTCACTTCCCCTTCTTCTTCACCTCCAACTTCAAGCAAAACTTACTTACTTCTGCAATGTGGAACTTCGTGCAGTCGCTAGCATACCCTGATCTTCACAATTTTCACAACGATTCACAAAGTACTTCACGGATCTCGCCACCGGAAGTGCTATAACGTAGATCACAGTTGGATAATGAAAGGGACTTGTCTAGATTACGGAAGCTGGAATAACGTAGATCACAGATGGATAATGAAACGGGGACTTGCCTAGATCACGGAAGCGAAGTGGAAGTGACATAACGTCATTTTTAAGCGTAGAGAGGACATGTATCCTTATATTTATGAATTCCTCACGCTCGGATCTTTTATGCATGAGTTTCTGGACATACTTTGATATATATACTTGCAGTCGAGGCTGTAATGATATTCACGAACGCTGTTCATTTTTTATCATGATTATTGTCGCTATGATCATTATCATGTTATCATTATCCTTATTATTGTTATGATTATCATTATCATTATTCTTGTTTTCATTTGTGTTTTGATTATCATTATTATTTATTATTATTATATTATTATTATTATTATTATTATTATTATTTTATTATTATTATTATTATCATTGTTATATTATTATTATCATTGTTCATTATCATTATCATTATTATTATTATTATTATTATTATTATTATTATATTATTATTATATTATTATTATTATTGCATTCATTATTATTATCATCATTATTATTGTTATCATCATCATTATTATTTTTATCATCATATTCACACTATTGATATTATTACTAACATTACTATTTGTCACTATCACTTTCGTATTACATCGATATCATCATTATTATTAATTCTGGTAATCATCTTTTTTGTTAGCATTATCAAATTAATATTTAAATCAACTTGCTCGTCTTTAGTTTTATTTATATTTATTATTCTTATATCACGTTTACCATCATCATTAACAATCACGATTATCATAATTATTGCGTTTATAATTACCGAATTTGCTGTTATAATTTCCAGCATCATCACAATCTTGAATATGTCATCATTTTTGTTATTTTGTGTTAGATATATCATTATATGTGTTTAGTATATCATTATTTTTTTGATATGTGTTTAATGTATCAGTTTTATTGGTATGTGTTTAGTATATTATCATTTCTATCAATTAATATAATTATAGAAATAACGTTTTGACTTTTATTTAGTATGCACACACACACAACACACACGCACGCACGCACACACACACACGCACACACACACACACACACACACACACACACACACACACACACACACACACACACACACACACACACACACACACACACACACACACACACACACACACACACACACACACACACACACACACACGACAATAATATAATTCTCTTATCACGTGATAGCAGATTCAAGGTCAAGGGTATTTTACCATTATGATTATGATGATTTATATTATTTATATTATTATCATTTTTATTCTTATTCTTAATGTTGTCGTTGTTGTTATTGTTTTTTTTTTTTTCTTCTTCGTATTATTTTATTGTTATTTTTATTATTATTGTTATTTTCATTATTTTCATCATTATCATTATTGTTGTGGTTATCACTATCATGATTATTGACATATTAGTATCATTATTATCACTTAGTATTATCACCATTATCATTATTAGTAATATCAATATCAATATTAGTATCATTATTACCATTATTATTCATATTAGATTTATTGATTATCATCATTATTGATATCATTTTCATTATCATCATTATTATTGGAATTATTATCATTATCATGAATATCAGCATTAATATTATATTATCATTATCATTATGATATTATTATCATTAATATTGCTATTAGTATTACTGTCGTTATTGTAAATATCAGTATTAATCAATATTATTATTATTATTATCTTTATCATTATTATCATTACTGCTGTTATTACTATCAATATCAATATTAATATCAATATCATTATTATTTATAATATTATTATTATTATTATTATTATTATTATTAATATCAGTATCAATATTAGTATCAATATCATTGTTATTAATATTATCATTATTATTGCTATTAGTATCATTAATATTATTATAAATATCATTATCATCATTAATATTATTTAATTATATTATTATTGCTATTATCATTATGATTATTATAAATATCATATGATTATCATATATCATTATTTATTATAAATATCATTAATTATTTAATAAATATCATTATGATTATTATAAATATTATTATCATTAGTATTATTATTTTATCATTATTATTATAATTATCATTATTATCCCTATCATGCTACCCATCCCAGCGAAACTATTTCATGTCTCCCGAAGGCCGAGTCGCAGAAAAAAAAAAGAAAAAAAAGAAAAAAAAAAAAAAAAAAAAAAGAAAAAAGAACAAAAAAAAAAAAAAAAAAAAAAAAAAAAAAAAAAAAAAAAGAAAAAAAAAAGAAAAAAAGAAAAAGAAAGAAAAAGAAAAAGAAAAAAAAATAAAATTCCCCACGGCGCCCCAGGGTAAGGTGCGGCCATGGGTCTTAGGGGGGAGGGAGGGAAGGGGGAGGGGGAGGGGAGGCTCCTGAAGACGCCCACCCCGGCAACACAGCATCTCCGCGGGTGAATCCCCGGCCACGCCCGCGCTCGTCCGTGTGGGCGCCTCGACGATCTTCATAGCTGTCCTTTTTTTATTATATATATGTATATGTATGTTTTTTTTTTTTTTTTTTTTTTTTTTTGCCTTGTCGCCCCATAGGTGAGTTGGATTTTGGGCAGTGAGGATTTCGCGGTTCTGTGTTTTTTTTTTTTTTTCTTAGTTGTCTTATTCTTTTTGTCGTTTTTCCTCTTTCGTCTGTTGTTCTTTCGTTTTCTTTTTTGTTCTTGTTTTTTTTCTAGTCTTTCTTTTTTTCTTTTGTTATTTCTTTTCTTCTTGTTGTTTTTGCTTTTTCTTGTTTTTCTTACGTTTTCTTCTGTTGTTTTTGCTTTTTCTTGTTTTTCTTACGTTTTCTTC